ATTAGATTCTTACAATAAAATAAATTCAGGCCACATAATCTGTATGATTAAACATACAATGTACATTTCTTAATAATGTATTACTTGTTGTAATTAATGTTACACATTTAACATATCGAGGATAAAATGGAATTGCAAAGTCTTCTCTCATTCTGTACCAAGTTTATATAAAATCGAATGAACGTTCAGAAAGAAAATGTAGTACACTTAGTGCAAATTTAAATTTCTGTCAACTTACCCATTTCAAGTAATCACGGTTGCTATCTTCTTTTTGCACAAAAACACTGCCAAAAAAACAAACATACAAGAAGCATAGTCGCGAGTAAAGAGACTTGTTGGAGATTATATATTCTCAGAATAAAGGTTCTCGTCAGAGAATACGACAACAGAGCTCTCGTCCACATGTCATGGCACTAACTACAGAAACAGTGTAAAGCCGGTTTGCGTACTCCAATTTGGTGGCACTATTTTCACCAATTTTTAGACCAGTAAAACTTGTCCACAATTACAATAGTAATCATACAGGTTTGAATTAGTTCTTCGAAGGGCATCCTAACCATAACAAAACTATTGCTGTGAAATAAACTGTTAACTTGTCAAAAAGACTGATTTTTTCTTTAATAAAATGCACTTTTCATACCGATTTACTAGTGTTCATTGAGAGGGGATGTGCTTGGTATGCTTGTGAGTTAATTAACCCGTGGTCATGACATACGTCAGTGTAGTTCAACCTCCCAAGGCTCTTTTTTTCTTCTTTTTTCTTTCTTTCCTTTTTTCCTTTTTCTTTTTTTCTTCTTCTTTTTTCCCACTGGCACTTCTTCCTGGATACAAAATATCAATTACGCAATTAGGAAATAATCGTATACTTTTCTTACTGCTTTTATAGTAAGAGCAGTATTAGAGATATTCTTTATAGATGACGCCGCTTCTCATATCACAGTCGCCACATCCTTCGATCTTCCCAATCTTCCTCTTGAACGTCCCGTTCGTTCATCACCTCTTTTATCTCTTTTCCAATGTTGATCTGGGTCTGTCACGCTTCCTGTTTCTTTGAAGTGACCATTTTAAAATTTCCTTAGGCCATGATTTTTCCGTCATCCTTTGAACATGACCAAAGCATCTATATCTTTTAGAATCAGCTACATCCATTGTATCAATATTAACGCCTATTTGATTTTTTACGACAACATATGGTATTTTATTTTTTAATGCAAGACCAAAACCGTGTCTTGAATAATTTACTTCCATCGATTTTAATTTTTGTCCTTTGCTCGGACTTCTCCTGAACCATGTGTGCTTTCAACCAGCGATTTATATATACGATTTATATCTTTGTCTTTCTTGTTATTGTTTGCCTACACAAAACATTACTCAACTGTCTTGTCACTTCTTTCTCTTGAGAGATTCTACGTTTTACTTCTGCATATCCACTTTCCTTTGATTTATATACACCAAGATTCTTAAAAGCTGTTGTATTTTTAATTTTTAATACACCTGTTTGAAATTATTAGGTTTGATCCTCGAGATTCAGCAACAACGTATCCTGTTTTTGATGGATTCATTCTTACACCGCACGATTTGTGTTCATTTAATTTACTCGGCATAATAATCTGTATCTTGTTCATTCTCGGCAAGAATCAGCAGGTCGTTAGCAAAGTGAAGGGTAAAATATTTATCATTGTTAACATCCATCCCCATATTTCGACATGTACGTCTCCAATTTTCAAAGAGCAGCGTTTAAATAAATTATGCAGAGCGTAGCAGCTACTCAAAATTCTTGTCCTAGTTGTTTAGAGATTTCAAATGGATTCATTACCTTTCTTCCAATTTTGATACTCCTTGTCATATCATTGTAAAGGTTTTTATTTAGTGAATATTTACGTTTGATGTGTGAGAACTTGTGAGATGTATAAAGAACATGCGTGTCTCTAGACTATGTTCTAGCCTCTTATCTATTATTTAACGAAGGCAAAACATTCCATCAATGCAAATCTCTCTGCCTGAAAAATATTTTGTTCTTCAACATCTTTGGTTGAGTTTTCCAATCTGGTCTTTATAATTTTCTCTTGTATTCTAGAAACAGGATTTTTCACACTAATTGGTCTATAATTTGTATATTCTTTACGATCTCGTTTTTATATATTTTTGTAATACGCTGTCTTCTATTCTGTAGGGACACTTACATCTCTCATCGTATAATGGAAAATAAAATGTAATTGCCTGAAATCTAGGCTACTTAATGGTTTACCATCTGGTCCAGGAGATCTTACATTTTTCATCAACCGTGCTGCTTTATGGTCTTCTTCCTTTACTGATTTCAATGATGGTTTCATCACTATCTACGTCAGTTTGCGTCATATTCAAGAATTCCGGTCTATCTACTCTGAACATATTTTCATAACATCTTTTTCATTTTCATAACATCTTTATTCTAAATAATTTGTAACAGATTTTTCATTACAGTTTTCATGGTTTTGAGTGTTTTCTATGCTTATTTTGATCGAGAGGCGTCTAAGCACTTTTTTATTATTTCACATTGAATTTGTTGTGCATCATTTTTTGCTTTTGCTACTTTTGTTTTGTTGATAGCCATTTGCGGCACACGTTCTTCTTAATACCTACTAGTTTTTACTTTCTCGCTACAGAGTAGGGAGAAAGTTATGTAATGCTGCGCGAAGGAACGGCGAATTTTTGGCAGAAAAATTCTTATTACGGGGCTCTGATAACGAAAAAGAGGATAAATCCAGTTGATAAATTTAGGAACAATCCTTGTTCTTGATACTGAAAAATCGAATGGCTATAAAATGTCTGCCAGTCCGTCTGTGAACAACGCTAGAGGCTATTCGCTCAGCCGATTTTCCCCAAAATTGATATTCCCAATCGATCTGCTTGATGTCGCGTCTCCTTGAATTTGAAACAGATATTTTAATTTTCGGGGGTACTTTACATTAAGTCCCTGAGACATTTTCAAGTTTTTTAAAATGGATCCATCGTTTTTTATTACATTTTGTTGTTGGATAGTGTGAAAGACGTTTAAAAGAATGGAGTCTTCCTTCAACTAAAATATTTAAGATATAGATTATACAAAATAAATATATTTCTTAAAGATAAATTTTGAAATAAGGTCATGTACAATTTTGTATAAATTTGAGAACTTTTTGGGTAATTTCTGCGTAAAATACGGACAAGAATGTTCGTGCAGCTGTAGCACCACTAGTTTAATATTTTCATACCACCAGGCATGGCTGACTCCTGCAACTTTTACTTTTCCCCTCAAATTTCGTATGCTACTTTGGATTTTATTATTTTTTATACACATTCAAATCGGAAGAAAAGAAATTTCATTTAATTTTATTGAAAGACGTTTTAAATAAAAATTTAATGAAATTATTTTCTATTTAAAAAATCAATTTTATATCAATTTGAAGCATATTTTCGTCCCCTTGTCAATGTTCCGTTGCTATCATTAGAGAACAGAAAATGCACTACTTCTTTCAGCAAGTGTGCCTTGCCACTGAGCCACTTTCTGCTACTCGATATACTCTCAGGTCTGCAAATTTTAATTTAGTGGAGATTTTGCAAATGGCATTACCAATTATTGACTTCGACTGTTTGGTAATTTGTAACCAGGAAAACGGTGAATGTCTTTATGTTTAAACTTCCCATTTAGAATACGAAGATTATATTCTTCACATAATTCTATTAATCTATGGCCACTATCGTTTGTTATTGTCCCTCCGTATCTTCTAATTATATTGCCATTTACATTTGTTCCAGTTCGACCGTTCAGATCTCCTAATATAATTACTTCTTTTCTATATCAAATCTCATCTAAAACAGCTTTCAATTGCACCAATTATTACAACATTGTATCCATTGAATTTTAAATCTGCTATAATCAATCATTTTTCTTATTCCATTTTTAATGCTGTTTTATCTATCAGAATTGATACACTGATCTTTGCTCGTTCTTCCATATTAACTACACGGAATATACTGTTATAACTTTCCATTTTTCATATCCCTTTCCCTTTCTTTTTCCTTCTGTTAAAACTACGACATCGAATTTAAATCTCGCTATCCCTTTAAGTACTTCTTTTTGTTACGTAGCTACCCACAGTCCTTGAATATTCTAGTTTCCCAAAATAATTTTCCTTCTTCCTTTGCTTAACTCGTCGTGTATTAGCTTTAATCCGAGGCAAATTAGAAATTTTTGCAATGGCTGTGATAACAGAGGGTTTTACAAAGAATGGGGACGGAGAGTCCCAATGCTCCAACCCCCACCCTGAAGGGACAGGGAATTTTGAAATTTTAGACTATTACAATTTTCAAAAATACACAGTCTATTTTCGTCTATTTTCGTTTAATAATGAGAAAAAATAGTAAGTATAATAAAGAGCTGGAAGATCCCTTGGCTACTTAATGGCCGGCGACCGTTAATTTTTAACAGCCTGCGACTATTAAGATTACCATTTTATTCCTCCAAGGGGTTGCATTATGCAGATATATTAACAGACAGTATTACGAAAATAGTATTCACACATTATTATGAATGCACATTGGACTTGCAAACAGTTCCTATCGTCGTCCGAGATACAACTCATCAGACTAGTGTTGCAATGAACGCTTTTTCACACGTTTACATTGTGATTTCAAAAACGTTAATATTTGTAGCCACTATATCAGCACTATAACAACGATCCTTTATTCACTGCATCGTTTTAAAGAGATTTCATGTTATGCATCAGCTGACTCAACATTGGCATTGGCAAAGTCCCGCGGAATAGCAAAATATAAAGATAATTATCCTACTATGGTTCTAAGAGGGCGTGTTTACTGTAGTAAACTGCGCAGGAATGTCGCAAGCAAACGACCGTTCCTTTGACGCAGATCCTCGGAAGGTGATGCAACGGCGCCGGTAGGTAAGAGGGGAAGGCACGTAGAGGACGGAAAGCACGCCGCCCATCCTCACCACTTCCTGGAGGCCGACCCGTTTTCGCTCGGACAGACAAACCCACGCCGAGCAGCGTCCTGCGAAAAGGGATTTTTCAGGATTCCAAACCGCGATGAGTGAGTTTACAGGAAGCGCGTTTTCCGTCACGCGGCGACAGTCCAGAAATACAGTCGTGCGCCTGGCCTTCCTCCCAGTGCGCTTCGAACTGTTCCTGCAGTTGCTCCTGCAGTGACCCAGGTGCTCGTCGGAGGCGCTTCATAGGCGCAGGATGGGGACACGCGCATTGACAGGTGAGTGACACATTAGCTAGTTTTCTAATGATCTCAAGGTTAAATTTATACTGTTCCATTAGTCCACAAAGTACTTCCCATCAAAAATAAAGAATATTGTACGGCGTGCTTGAATCCCCGTAGTTTTGGTAATAATAATTTTATGAACACATCCTACAGTTAAACTATTTAGTGTTCAGAAAAATGAACTAGCGACTTGTAATATTTGAAAGCCGGAAAACCGCTTTCAAAGTTTTTCCATTTGGCCATTTTTGTAAACATACATTATGAATACTTCTGTGTCACTTAATTGAAGAGGAGTCAGAAATTCTGATGAGTATTATGCTATCCTAAGTTTTGTGTAAGAAAAAAATGGTTGACGGTTTATTAATTACATGTCCCAAAATGTCAATGACATTCATTTTAAAGGGCGCTTGTGGCTGCTGGCACTGCGAACACTCTCATAAAAGTGTCTTTCAAGTTTTTTTTCACATTTTACCTCTGAAACTGCAAGAGTATCGAGGCAACATTTTGCCTCTTTTTCTTTTTTAGTTTATTTTTTCGTGTGATTCTGAATTCAATTTTAAAATTCACTTTCTCGCCTTACCGTGCAAGTACATAAGAGGAAGTTTTGTGATGTTGGTCAAAATTCGATGATTTTTCGAGAGAAATACTCATACTTTTTGGGGCCCTGGTATCGAAACTGTGGATAAATTTTGTTCCTATATGTTAATATCTCCTGATAAATTACCTCCTCTAATTCATTGAATAGTCACATTTCAAGTTTTGTGAGTTTTTGATATGGAAAACTCGATTGACGTCATTTAGAGGGGGACATTACATGAAGCTTCAACATTATTAAAATTTTCTCAAAAAGTCTCCAAATCTTTCGGTTAAACTTTGTCCCTTGTCCTTCCTTCCTTTGTCCTTGTAAACGAAATATTTAAAAACATAGCTTAAAAATGGCGCAAGTGTCATTTTCGTTGAAATCTATAAATTTTCAAAAATTGCAAAACTTCAAATTTCTTCGTCAATTTCCTACAACTACATTATTAAAGATAGATACTTTTTGCCTTATGAAACCTGCTGCATCTTTAAACGATGTCAGGTTCAGTGCATGCGGAGATCGAGATTGCAGACGACTGCTGTACGCTATCCTATGGTGGAAAGAATGCTATACCGTGCAAAAACTCCCTAATGCTTAGCGAAGCGTCAATCGTGGTATACGAAACTGAGATTAGATTAGGTGAGATTAGATTAAGTAAGCAAGATGGGTCCAGCCGATCTTCTTTTGGAGGGAGGAGATGCATCATAGAGTTTTGTTAAATAATAATCATATTTGTTATCATGTATTGTTTTTGTAGTGTATATATGATACTATTCAATATTATTTTTTAAATTATTACATAATTTCAACATAAATATTTAAATCTGTTTTGCAAAGTGGAGAGCGGTAACAAACGAAAATTTTAGGCCTTTGAGAGGGGGCAACATGTCCCACCTGACCCCATTGAATCCGTCCCTGTTTATAAGAGACGCAGGGGAACTCGAAACTACATTCCTGGTCTCTCATTAGCCTTAGAACAGGATTGTTATGGTAGCGGCAATGCTAACTAGCTCACAAGAGTGCGTAGGCTTTACGTCCAGAGCAACTGGCGCGAGGTTTAAAAGTAAGAGATGTGCAGATAGTGCGGGTCGGCGATGTGTCACAGAACACCTGGACCTTAACAGTCTTTTTGAGAAGTCAGTTGTCAGTCAGTCAAATTGCCTCAAATTTAGTTTCATTAGTCTCTACTAAAGCAGAGAAATGATCCATTTAAATGAAATAAAATACATCTGCCAAAATTCAAGAGTCCAATTGAACATTTCGAATCGAAAGTATTTTGATTTCATAATCATTGCTCAAGTGTGCAATCATTGCATAAACCTCTTACGTTCAGGTTAGATCAAACAAAGATTCTTATCTGTTAAAAGAACTGCCTGCCCGTGAGAATTGTTAGCTTATAGACACTTGTTAATTTTATTTCATATTATTGCTATATATAGCAAATAACTAAATTATTTAATAAAACATGGCGCAAAACCAAAACAAAGGAAAGGAATGCAAACATATTACTGCCCATCGGCACAAATATTTATGTAAGGTAAAATACAATAAAAATGAAATAAACTAATTCAACAACAACGTAATTCAGATATCGGTTGGTTAATAGAGCAAATCTGGCAAATCCCTTTGTAAAAATCATTATACCCCACCTTGCACCACTTCAGCTTGCGCCTTTACACCCCTATGTGAATTAGAAGGGGAAATATAGCGGGATCAGAAAGGGAAAGTTGCCCATGCTTGCAGGAGCGCCCATCTTCCCAGACGGGCAAGTAGCCCGTGCGGACGCAGTTTGACTTGCCTGCCTTAAGCCCGTTGTATACGACTCCATGAGGAACATAGTCAAACCGAATGAAATCTGTATCGAAAAATGAAGCATGCCTCATTTTTTCGAACACATTACATCATCAAATTAGGTCCGTCACTTTTCTGTACCGTTGAATCACGAGGAAAAAAATTACCGTGGAAAATGGGCCTCAGAAACTTCTCACCAGCAGTCAATTCCTGTTTCTAACATATCTGCTATTCTTGGTCACATCGTTTACTCGCTCTAGCCACTCACTTTTAGTTAACATGCACTTCATTCGGTTAAGTCCGAAGCACGCTTTAAAGCTGTTCTTATTTCGGACTTTATCCATCCATTTTGGATAATGTAAATACTAACCAGCTAATTCGGACCAATTAGCCCAATTCGGACACAATCGTAACATCGACAGTCCTTCAAATGCCCATGGCGCACTCGCGTTTTGGACTCAGTCACATATTCCATCAGGTGTTGGGTAAAATATATACAATTGTTTCTTGTAACTTTTTAGATGGTCGAATTCTGTGCTTTCCAGTACCGTTTTGTTTTTAAAGCAGAGTCTACGTCATAGAAGGATGGAACTTCATGTTTTTTCCTCCCACAGGGGTGGCAGTGTGCTACGCCTTGTTGGTTTCCTTGACCGGAGCAGCAGGGCAGTTGTTGGACACAACCCACCCAGAACATAAGCAGGCATCGCCGCTCCAGCCCAGCCCCCTCAAACGCTACAACGGCCCGCCGGAATGCAACCCCACTCGCGGCCACGCGCTGCCCAAGCACTGCCAGCAATCTTCCCGGCTTGTGGCCGCGCGGAAAGAAGACAACCGCAACATCCCCACAATCGGAGACGACGCGGTCTACAGAGGCCCGCCCGAGTGCAACCCTATCCGTGGACAGGCACTGCCCGACTACTGCAAGCAATTGTCCGGCCAAGCCGTGAGTCCTTCCTCGGGAAGAAGCCCCGACAGGCGTGTGGTGTTCCCGGACTCGATCCCGCCTACGACTACTTCGTCGAAACCTTACCGCCCAGCCCGCGCCACCCCCGTCCCCGCCGACGCGGAGGAGGCGGAGGTGGAGGACGAAGACGTGTACGTGCCGTTCGCGGGCCAGCGGCTGGACGCCTTCGACTGGCGGCTGGTGCGCGCGCTGGACGCCGTGGCGCGCACCAACGCCGTGGTGTCGCCCGTGGGCGTGAAGATGGTGCTGGGGCTGCTGCACGAGGCCGCGTCGCGCGACTCGGCCACCGAGCTACGCCAGGCGCTGGGCCTGCCCGCCGCCCGCCCCAGCGCACGCGGCACTTTCCGGCGCATTCTGCAATCCCTGCAGGTCAGCCCTTCTTCTTCTTCTTCTTTTATTTATTTATTTATTTATTATAAATTTATTTATTTATTATTTTTAAATTTTTTTCCGCCCTTGCGAAGGTACTTCGTAAAAAGAGACAGTTGTGTAAAAATGTGCGTTTACGCTGCGCGAGCTAACGCACTCTGACGAACAATTCTTCGTTTGCTCGGCCGGTGCAAACGGAACCATAGAGTAGAGATATCTCTCCTCTATGAAACGGAAGGCCCGAGCGAATCGTGACGTTCGGACGAGATCGGTTGGCGCAATGCGAACGAACATTTGTTCCGTGTAAGCGAATGCAGACGCCGAGCGAACGCATTCGCTCGGAGCTGAGAGGTTCGGGACGCGGTCGAACATTTTCATTTCTACCTGCGAACACGTTGGGTAATTTCAACACTCTTGTGAGCATAAAGGCGAATTGTACAGTTTGTAGTTTGCATAGAAAAAGTATGAAACTTTTAAATGAAAAGTTTAAAATCTTTGTCAATGATCTTTTATAAAAGAAGATATGATAGATTAATTCCTTTGGTTAATCATAGTTTAACCAGATAATCGTAAGTTAATCCAATTAATGATAGATTAATTTCCATGATGTAATAGCTAATATTGTATAGAAAAATTATTTTACAAAAATTCTTTGATATAGTGTAGCCTAAAACGTCCAAGTTTTATCATACATTTGTTAACGTGGCGTCCGATCAACGAACTAGAATATAGAGTGGCTGAACCACCTCCATCTTTGATGCAAATTGAAGCCAAACGCGGTTTTTTGTAGTCAAAGCAACGCCCTATGAGAAACAAAGTATTCTAGCGTGTTAGTATTTAGGGGACATCAAAGGGAGCCAACGACCTGAATGAACTCGAAGCTTTGGGAAATTAAAACGAATATTTTGATTTTTAAGGGTACTTTACATGAAGCTCCCAAAAAAAAAATGATCAAAATGTTCTCAAAAATGGCAATTTTTTTAAAACAGAACTTTGCCCTCTGATGACGTAAAGAACGCTTAAGACCACGGTGCAGATCTCACGTTCGTTTAAATGCCAAATTTTGAAAATTGCAATAGTGTGATTTTTTCGGCGTCTCAGCGCCGTTAGTATCAGAGGTCTCCAGGTGGTCACCCATCCGGGAACCCGTGATGAATTGAGCTACTTAACTTCAGTAGCTTAATAAGTGGCGTAACGTTCTGGCACGCAATGCAGGCGGGCCCAAGTAAAAGAGGACCTACTGTTAGTTTGAAGGTTTTATGATTGTAAGAAATATTATTTTCTTGGTATTTTTTTATTGTTGATACAACAAAATATTAAGAACATGATTTTCCAGAAGAACCCTTTTTTTCCGAGTCGGTAGCTTATGTAACCCTATTTCCATATCAATAAAGGTAAACAATTAAATAATTTTTTATGATTGTCTTAATTTGATAAAATTAAAAAATTAGGCAGATTTTCTACTATTGGTTGTTAATCATAGACTGATGAATCTAAATTTGCTAAAATGTATTTTAATTTTTTAAGTTAATAGTAGTACATGTGTTTGCTATACACGTTTATAAAGAGGGCTCAGATAAAAATTTTGCTGGCAGACCCACACTCATTATGCTACTGAGCTTGATTAATAAGTTAGGCTACTAACATAGGCTGACACCAAACACACGGTTACCTATACTTCTAAATTTGTTAATCAAAATGTAAAAGTTGTTTAACAGCTATTTAAAATGAAGCATTAATAAATGTTTTTAATTTCTCTTTACAGCTTTGATAACATGTAAGAAAAGATTACAAATCATTGCAACTATTTTCGTATTAATTTCGATGAAGTACCTATCTTCAATACTATTAGAAAGACAAGAGTTCAGTAATGCTTAGGAAGTATTAGAACCATGGAACCATGCCCCTCTTCCAAAGCCAACAGTTTTGTTGTAGTAATTTTACTCAATTTATTTTAAATAATAACCAAATATTTATGACTCATCACATATAAAACAGTAATGCCATTAAGAATTCAGTCATATTCTGTTTTATTTCAAACCAATAATTAAATAACATTTTTTTTAATATTTAAGAAGGGGTCCAAACTTCCATCACCCACTTTTTTCCACAAATTAGTATTTAATTTTAAAGTCTACATTCACTCACTTAAACACCATGTTTTTGGCAACCCTTTTTGTTTTTGTTTCTTCAATGATAAAATGATGGCATTCATGATGTAGTTTTTTAAAACACAAATTCGTATTGTTGCCTTTTCACATCAGTTGCAACTACAACTCTGTGCAAAATTTTTGACATTGCAGTATAGTAATCTTTGCAAGAAGTCTGGTTTTTTGGTAGTTGTAGTGAATTGGTTTCTCAGTTTACTAATTTTTTTTTATAAAATTGAAAACTCAACAACTTTGTAATGTTTAAATTTTATTCAGTCACACGAAAGAAATCTGTGCATTACCTGTTTATAGCCAAAACTACACTCCTAGATAAAGAACATGAAAAACTTTCGTAAAGATACGTGCAAAACCAGTAGTTGAATCAGAGAAAACAAAGGTGGTAAAGAAATATCAAAGAGTAATAAACAACAGAAAGATTTTTTCACAAATACTATTAACACAAATTGTCAATATATCATATTCTTAGATATTCACAAAATGCATCATGTCTAATCACGTCTTTTCTGTATTCTCAAAATACAGGACAATATCAATTACCTAATAAATCAAGTAGCTAATATCTTCTTACTTTTTTGACAGGTTGTAGGTGAAAATAATATTTTTTTGTAGTACAAATTCTGTTAGCACAGGGTTCATTGAATAAACAACATATGCCATTATGCTAAATCAGACATGATATTGAATTTTTAATATTCAAGCAAAAAATTTTATGAGATCCTGGTACTTTTTTTGTTAGTTTAGATAAAGAAATTTCATACTTTTCATAAATGGATACATACTATTTTTCCTTATATAGACAGATATCAACTTATTTAAGACATATACAATTGCCTTCAATTAGAAATTTGAGATCCATGACACACAGAAAAATATAATAATTTTGAAACACAAAACAAATTACAAACACAAAATTCTTTACTCAACCAATCAGATTTAAATTTCTTATTCTTATGAGAAGATATATTGAAATGTATTCATTAATACCATAAACTACTACTCTCATGCAATAAATTATATTCCTGTTATCATGTTCTCTCTCTCTTTTTTGTAGGAAAAGCAAGATGGTTACATCATGAAAGTTGGAAACAGAGTCTTCCTAGACAAAGCTTATGAACCTCGTTCAAGTATTGTTAAAATTTACCAATCATTTTATAGTGCAGAAATTGAACAAACTGACTTTAGGACTCCAGCGACAGTGAAGCCTTCAATCAATAAATGGGTCTCTAATTTTACAAATGGATTAATAAATCAACTAATAACAAATGGTAATTTAAAAGTGAATTTTCAAATATCTAGGTGGCTAAATTGCTTCTCTGCTCTTCTCACCGATTATTTTCACGTTTTCAGATCGGCAGGTACAAGATCTTGTTTCCATGTTGTTGAATGTAATTTACTTCAAAGGAGATTGGCTCTTTCCATTTCAAAAGCAAAAAACTTCAACAGGACCATTTTATGTGGACTCAGAAAATACAGTAACAGTAGATTACATGTACATTACAAGAGATTTGTTTTATAGTGAATCCAAAACACTTGATGCAAAGTTTTTGAGATTGCCATACAAGGTAAGCATAGCATTAGACATAATAATTATCATGAATTCAGGTTCTATAAATGTTTATATAATTTTGATCCATATGTCATGATTAATTCTGACAGTGATGACAATCACCCAATTTGATTTAAAGGTTTAAAGTAATTTCAATGATTGAGATGGTAGTTTAGTACAAAGATGAAGGCTTTAACCTACAACACATTGCAACACTTTCATATAAATAGTCTTCTTCCAAATAAGCCAAGTTTCTTCTTGATTTTCTCTTAAAAGAACAGCTCTACATCTGCTAAATGATTATCTATCTCATTTTATATAGAAAAATGTATTGACACAAAACTCTAAAAAAACCCAAAACACATTATTACAGAAAATTCTGAATACAAACTCTGAGAATACAATTTTAAAACAATAATCATTTCTGGGTATAAGCTGAATTGGGGGTTATGAATAGCCCTTTTAATCCTTAAGTTAGCATATTAAAGGAAATTTCACAATTTGATATCAAAACCAACTTACTGCTTTAAAAGTGAAACACAGCCATTGAGAAAACAAGATGAAAAAAAAAAAAAAAATAATAATAAAGGACTTCTCAAGTGAGTTTCTTATGAGCTTTTTTTAACTAATTAAAGTTTGAGAGACAGACTTCTACAAGGACATACAGGTGACGTTAAATGTTGATAGCATGCTGTTAAAAAATATCCAAAGAAATGTTAACCAGATGGAACCAAATGGTTACTAAGTTATCCTCTTCTAAACATGGGTTTACTCATGAAAAATGTGAATAAGCCTAGAATGAGGCAGTCAGGGTAGTTCTGAGACTTGGGCCTTTCGGTCCCAATTCTTGTACAGGAAGAACTGCTAGCTATTCTACTATACACAAATAATTCACTATTTATCTTATCTTGTATTTTTGTACATATCAGTCAAATAGTTTAACATTAACAATCTGAATACAAGAAATAGAATATAATGTAGTATGTATAGTAAAATTGTCTCTACACCAAAACACTTACAGGCATAAATAATTAACAGATTACAGATTTTCCACCAGAATTCTTTGTTATTTGTGTTGAATAACTGCCATTTTTTGTTTTGTTTTGTTAATGTAAACAAAGGGGTGAATGATTCTAATATCTCTGTAACTGTTTGAAGATATTTAACATATTTACAAAAATATTATATCATTTTTTTTTTTCAGGGAAATAAATATTCCATGTTCTTTATACTTCCAAATAAAAAACATAATCTCAATCAAACAATTCAACTCATAACCCCTGAATTAGTGAGGGAGCAACTGTATTCCCTCAATAAAACAGAAGTGAAGGTTAAACTACCTAAATTTATATTCCAGTACACTGTTCATCTGAAGGAACTTTTACAAAAGGTATTTAAATTTTTGCAGAACTAACTACACAATCCTTGTTGATAATAAATTTTAAACCAATGTTATCATTACATTTCATTGCAGGTGGGAATTTCCAGAATATTTACACAGAGTGATGAAATTAATATGACAAAAAATAAGACAAATATGAGGATTTCAAAAGTGATCCAAAAAGTTGGTCTAGAAGTTAATGAAGAAGGAACACAAGCTACTAGTGTAACAGGTATGTTATCTTTGGTGAATTTCAGCAACAAGAAAATTGTTTCAGGAAACCAAATTGTAATTCTAATATATTATTAAAATTATATTTCCCACTTTAAGTTCACAGCAAGTTTATAGCAGTTTTAAAAAGTTAAAATTGAGCTTAACACAATTTTGATCTTACTAGAGCATTCTTAATAAGATGGAGATTTTCTCCATTTAGAGATTAGACAACATTTCACTAATGAATTAGAAAATTTGCAATTAATAAATAATGTTTTAGAACAAATGCATAAATTAACATAAAACTGAAAACTGACTAAAATAAAGAAACAAAATTTGGGATGGGCTACGTGAAGCAAAAGAAGATATCATGAATTACGCAAATTGTAACTAATAACTGAAATCAAGTTCAAAATTAAGTGGTACATTATAACTTAAACATCAATGTTTATATAAAACTTAAAATTCCTAATTTGAATTAACAATTTCCGTTTCATGTGAGGGATAGTTCAAAGATATAGTTAGGGTGGCTTTACAATTCCTCACCACATTTTGGCTAAGGGCATAAAACGAAACTTAATGTATAGTAAGAAAAGCTTAAGAAATTAAAATATTAGAAGGGAATGCCACATGGCATTCACAGAAATATAGGTAACAGTAACAAAAATCTTCATATTTTTACCACCAGTAAAATAGTTCAGTTTCTCATAACAAGAAGTTTTATATTTTGAAGGAGTTTTATTCAAGAATATTGCTTTGAAATACAAACTATGCTTGCAAAATAAGTACAGAATTCAAAAAAACACACTGAAATGTCAGACATATTTTATAAATGCTTCTTGTACCTAAAACACTGCTCTACAAATTACATTGAATACACAAAATTTACACAATAACAGAAATTCTTTATGATTGGATAGAAAAAATTTAAAACAGTTTTGACTTAATTGATTGTCAGAGTGAACAGTTACAAGCGAAGTTAGTAAATACACAGCGAAGTATAAGTAAACAAACAATTTTCTTGTGTACGATTACAAAATTTCTGATCTAAAATTTTACATTCCTTGTTTTTACTACTTGGAAATGAACATTCTTTCAATTAATTCTAACTGGAAACGAATCAATTACTGGCCCCAATGTATATACATTTATGTATTAATTCCTGTTTTTTAATAAAACAATAAAGCAACATTTGTGGAAAACCAACATATAATCCCAAACATTTAGTTTAAAATTATTTCTACATTGCACCTACATACAATACTTATTTCATTAAATTAAGATAAACATCATCTACGGACAAAACAGAAATTAAAGGAAAAAGACAACAAATTTGTATTTGCTTTGCTCAGAAATATAAAACTTTTAATAACAATATAACTAAAAACAGAGATATTGTAATTTTTGCTTGTAAAATGACTTCTACATTTATTATTAAAAACATGCATTCAAGCTTCCCAAGAAAAGTAAAAGTACAATATCAATTTCTGAAATGAACTTTGAAATTCTTTTAAGATAGAAAAATGACATGATGAACGATCAGTTGGACGGATGGTCGGTCAAACATTCATGAATCTTTGAAAATTAGTTCCTCTATGAATGTATTACTGTCAAAATCTTGAGAAGACATTTTTTCATCGTTGATGCTTCTCAGTTAGGTACATACTTCAAGAAACATTCTAAAAAGACAATAATCTGTTTTAGTTGTTTGAGCCAATAAATGTGGACAACATGATTTCTTAACGTTTTAATCCTATTCTTTAGTTTGAAGTAAACAGCCTATACTGTATAACACTTATTGCAAATAGTTTTGGTGACAATTTTGACAGATGAGATTCTGAGCAGTTCTTTCAAACTGTTATTGACAAATCCAGGCTTTACACAGAACTATTGAAGTGGTCTCTGCATAATCCAATATCTTTCTAGTTTGAAAATATAATTGTTGATAATACTTGCTTCTATTAATCTAATACAAAATACAATAGGCAGAGCCAACATGTACTTTGTGGTGCAGAGAATTTGATTAATAAGATTACTTTTTTTATATACATATACAGCCTACAATTCAATAGTTAAGCCTTTAAAGAATCATTACTATTCACTATGTCTAATGCAATTATTACAATTTTGTTTCAGAGGTATCGCTTGAAAACCATTTTGGTGGTCCAATAATGTTTGCTGCTAACCATCCATTTTTGTTTTTTGTTGAAGAAGAAAAGACTGGAACTATTGTGTTCATTGGAAAAGTGATTGATCCTAGTTATGTAAAAACTGCACTGAACTCTACCACATCTACAAGACAACCTCCTATAGAGAGAAATTTTGACACTCTACTGGAAAAAGATTTTTCGAGGGATGTCTTGGTTCAGTCAGATGGTAAACACACACCTCCTCTGGTACCCTCTGAATGAAAATATAAATCTTTAAAACATGAATTTAATCAAAACAAAAGTATTCAAGCTTTATACACTAAAGTTGAAAAAGTTAGTCATCTAATATCACAACATTTTGATTGTACTTTTAAACCCTTTGTTGAAAAATTACCGATAGTAAAAAATTATTCTATTAATAAAACCTATGCAATAGAATATTTTAAAATAAAATAGAGAAGGTAGAAATGTAACTGGTTATTCCAGTCCAATACTCAAAAGGATATGTTAAAATTCATACTTTTTTTTTTATAATAAAACCACTGACAATGAATATACACCATTAAAATTCTTATAAAACTATAAAATATTGTTATTGTACAACAAATTCCATTTTACTATCACCAATGAATTTACAATAAATGTATATTTATCTTTGGTAAAGATAATGTTTCATTCTTGAGTGGGTAGAACTATTGAGTGAATATAGTTGAATTGTTCTAACTGGGCCACCTGAAACAAGAACAATATCGACAACAACTTATGGGAAAATTTTTTGGAATACAAAATAGATCAATATTAAAAGCAAACCTGATGATTGCACAAATCTATTGCAGTTTTTCCAGATTTGGCCTTTTGATACATAGTCTGAAATAACTTTCCGTCAAAATAATGCCATGGTGAAACCTGGGGACAAAGAAAAACTAAGTTGAAAAGATATCAATAATAAGTTTCAAAAGTTTTTTATGAATAAACTTATATTTTACAATAAAATTTAGAGAAACTAATTACAGTAAATGTAATGTGACCAGAGAAAGTTTCTCACATATAAACATGTTGAATAATTTGGGTATTAAAAATGATCTTCACATTTATGTAAAATGTCATATTTCACAATGAAATGCCCTACAGCAATATGTTATTTTTTAACTGTAATAAAATCTTTATACGGTGAAGGTCATAAAATTAAATTTTATACATTAAATAAATTAATTATTGAAACAAAAGAAGTTTGTTTTCATACAGCAAACTTCTTTGATGTTAGCTTTTACTTCAATTAAATAGTGCCTCTGCAAATGGGATCACTTCCAACACACCAAACTTACACCCTTATTAGTTTGTGTATGTTCACTACAAAGAGTAACTTTCATTGTTATTCATTTACATTTATATTATGGTATTTATATTTTTAAGAATAATAAAGAAAATATTGTAAGAACTAACTTTTATATATAAAATTTAAAGGACAAAGTTCTATGTATTTTTACTGCTTTAGCCATCAACTTGTCCAAATGTTTTTTCACGTTTTATGTTTTGGACTAACGCTGGGGAAGTTTAATGAAATAATCAGATATTTTTAGGAAAGGATATCAACATACACAAAGAATTTTCAACACAAGTAGTAAAAATACCATTCATAAAAAAGGAAAACTAATGCAACTGACGTTAATATTTGTTATAAGTAAGTTTATTTCATTTTCCCTATTGTGTGAAAAATTCTCAATAGCAAAATATCTTATGACATATCCTCCTCTTTGCACAGTCATCAGCACAAAGGTTGATTGGATCTCAGTAGAATTAATGAGCATTAACTACAGAGAAAATAAGGCAACTGGAGGGAGGGAGGTTGCCATTTCCTGCATCTACCCCTCGAAGCCAGAGAAGGCAGAAGCACTCGCAAGCCATATGAGTCGCACCTTTTACAGCAAGAATGGTATTACTTGGCACCAGCCATACCCTCAGCAAGCTTCCCCAAGACATAAAGACAATGACATGCTACTGCATTGTAGAAGCTACACATATTTCTTGCCCTTGCTGGGAATCACACCCTTGTGCATAGAAACTGAGCATGCTGACCATTAGTCATTTGGGAGCCAGGTTTACCCTTTAACTCATAATAATACGTGTGACAAAAAGGCCATCACCAACACAATAATAAAATCCTTCCTAGAAATAGTGGTGTTGCGTAGCCTAAAACAAGAGGAGGTCAACATTTATAGGTCCCCTTTTTCATTAAAAAACAGAGGAAATCAGAGATAGAACATTAGAGAAACAAAATGTTTTACTACGTATGGCTACAGAACTTCTTTCAACATTTTCGGGAGTAGGGGAGACATCCTACGCCTCAAATGGTTTTTCTTTACTATGTACCTCAACAGGTGGGATAGGCCGACCACATACATCCATTAGCATTTTGATAATTGATGCACCTCGACCAAATATGCAAGCTAACTGAACAGCACGAGGGTCAGCTTTTTCTATTTGAATCTTTGCCAGGACTGGAGTAGACAATGTAGGCAGTACCACAGCAGTGGCAATAAAAGCATTCACTTCCCAGGGCTCCAAAAATCGAGATGAGACTTCCTGAAAAAACAAAAATTGATTAATTTGTATCAAACAGGATAAATATTGATCTTTCCCCAATTATTAATGATATCATGATGATATTCAAGCACGCAATATATGTACAAATACTTTACAGACATCATAAATGTTTCTTTAGTTCATTCTTTCAGAATAAACTACAAATGCTTCATCATTTTGAAATAGACATACTATTCCTCAGTAGTTTAAAATTCTTTCACTTCAATAACACTGATCCACCAAAGTATTTTACAAATCATCCACAAGAAAATAGAATTTCATGTTAAAAGTAGACAATAAATTCTGACAAGTGCATCTGGTACTCTAAATTTTACATTTTAAAAAAGTAATATGTTTCCGAGACATCAATGTTTTCGGGTTGAAAGAAGAATAGGTCGGCCAGTAGACATACATGAAATGGAATGTAATAAGATATTAAAAAAAACTACTACAGAAGAATCAATGTTTAAAGCTAATCAATTAACTTAAAGGAATTCATTTACATGTTCCAATCATAGTAATTTTGAGTGGGGAAGAAGTCAGTTCCTTCTGTTCTTCTTTTTCCCTTCCTTAGTCCATTAAGAGGACTTCTTTTACAAAAGAAAATCAAATTATTCCGAAGGCAAAATAAAAGAAACATTCTAAGCCTTTCTTAAAAGCATTTTTGAAAAAAAGTCTAATTTTCTTTTTCAATTTGATCGAGATGCCATGAAACAGAAATATTCCATGTTTATGTTGTATATTTGCTTCAGGGAAGAACATTATAAAGAAAATTTCATAGTATGCAAATATACTGTAAGTATAATTTCAAACGCATTTTTATGCCACAATACTTGTTGTGAATTTCACATTTAGATAGTAATCTTACATTAATAAGTGTCTGTGGTTTATGACACCTGATGAAGTCCCAAATGATCCATTTGTCATTCACCTTTATCCACACCAGTTGGCTAATCTATGAATTAACTGGTTACTCCTAACATTAGCCATAATTCAAACTTTATCCACATCATGTACTTTACAATTATCTACTATGAGCTAAAACTATCGTTTCAAGACCAAATACTCAATTTTGACCACTTTGAAAATGTAGGTTTCCACAGCTGGGATTAATAGTTTCTAAATACCATGTCCTAAATACAGTTGCCAACATTGTACACTGTGACCTTCCTCAGGGCATTTTGTCCTAAACAATGTCACAATGCAATGGTCAAAAGTGCCTAGGGTGTAGCATCTCTCAGACAGCCAGCAATTTTTTCACCATTTTGTGATATGTACTAAGAGCAGATGCTAAGTTGATTTCTTGTCAGCTCAGTATAAACAGCTTTCCTCCCAAACAGAAATTGTTCTTTTGGTCATAAATTAACAAATAAAATACAATGAAAATATAATGAATAGTGTCTTGACTACATTATTAAGGTATCACATTATTATTGCAATATACTCAACCAGAATTTTTCATGGATTGCTTTTCAAACTTATAAGTACAGTCTGGAAGTTTTGGCTTCTTTTTTTTTGTTGCCTAAAATAGGCAGGCAAAAAGGCGTTTATTTCTGTCTAAGAAAGGCATGAAAAACCAGTAAATATTCTGGCAAAAGTAGGGGGATAAAAACACAAGAAAAATTAAAAAATTACTATTTAATGTAATTAGTGTAAACAAATTATTAATTAAAATGATCCACATTTTTATTCTAACTCTAAAAATTACATTAGCACACACATGGAAGGAAGCTACTTTTGCTTTGTAATCTTAATTGCACATTACCATCTGGTATGACTACTACAAATTTATTTTACTCATGATGCTGTCTCTTTGAAATGTTATTGTGGACTTTGTGGACTCCCTTTAGAATCTTGAAATGGTATCAGTGAAAATGGAATTGTAGATTTTGTTTTCCGGACATATGTAATTGCCAGAAGGGAAGAGAGAAAAAAAAAGAAACATTGTACAGACAGGTCTGTCCTCAAAAGGGATCCAAGGTAATTTACAAACTTAGGATGATATTTCTCGTGAGCGAACAAGTCTGTAAGCATCAATGAAAAATATTCAAAAATCTTGACTGGTATCATTTTCCTCTCTCTTTTAGATTTTTATTGCAACCTGACACTGGAGCCTCCATGGCCACAGAAAGACAATACACAACTGTGCCTTCATTTGTCGAGACTTACAGGAATGTTTCCTGTTGATAAATGGAGAGAGAAAATGGGAAAGTAATGACAAAATGGCAAATAAAGGCACAAATAAGGCAGAATACCAAAACAGGAATCAGAAGCAATCGATTAGGCAAAAAAGGCAAAATGAAAATCTACTAAAACAACTCCAAAAGTACAATTAAGTGATTCCTAGTATTAAAAGTAATAAAATCATAACAATAATAAAAAGTAATTTTGCCAAACATCTAGGCTCTACTTATATGAATACTAGTGTTACAAAATTAATTGTCAGTACTTACATGGTTTAGAAAATACAGCAACAATGTCGGAGCTAAAAGTGTTGGAGGAATACTTTTTAATACATCAGGATCAAGCCCATTCGATACAGCATGAGCCACAAGGGCCCACTTTTTAGCCAGCATTTCTTCACTTTTGTCATTTTCATCCCAGAGAGCCATAAGTCCAGGATGAGAACCTGCAAAATCAATTTTTTTTTTTTTTTTTTTTACGGTAGTTCGTTGGGGAAAAAATTAAGTTTTGTTTTTCTCTATAATTCTGTATGTTGTTTTTTGGGGTGCTAAATCTGAATTTCAACTGGTAAATATTGTGCATTTTGAGAAAACCGCATAAAAGTTTTTTTGTGATAAGCGGTTTGTGAGAAATAGTTTCAATCTTTTTTTTTTTTTAAATTACTTGAAAACTACGCATCACTTGAGAGGAGCTTCATCAGACTAACGATTTCAACGATTTCTAGCGCCTAAATCGTTCGTGTGACGGTAAAAGTCCGTTGGAAGTTTACGCACTTATTTCTGAAAGCGTATATTTCGAGTCATAAGCGCTAACTTAAAAAAAGGAAAACTTTTTTGATAGATGAGAACTAATGGTTTGCCACATTGTAACATATTCTAGCCCCTTAACTTTTGTCTCAAGAAAATTACTTGAGAGATAGAATTCGTAGAATTTTAATGTCATATATTTCGGACATTTGAATACCATTCTCTAAAAGTGCGTAGTTTTCATGATCTAGGCGAAGAACGTGATGAGCGATTTTTTTAATGCACTATCACTACACTCTACAAAATGAAAGGTAGATCTTGTTTTTGAATTTATTATTGCTGCAGTTAACAGAACTATAGCAATTGCTTTCCGATGAAGTCATGTTAGAAAATAACTTATACGAAATGTTTTAAATTGTGAACAATAAAAAGAAGATTCCTGAAAATTCCCTAAATACATGCAACCAACTAACACAAACTATCAGTATTAGTAAAGAAGTAAGTAACTAACAACGACACATCTTAGAAATGTAAGTCCAGCTTTGACTCGTAACCTTCAACAACAACTTGGCACAAGCACATTACACCAAAACAATACATTCTCCTCAGAAATACTATTTTTCAGCAAATTACCAAAACATCTGAGAAACATTCCAGGATTACACAGCTTCCAGAATAAACTCACACTCCATCTACAGAAACTTTTCTATAGTGTTCAAGAATTCATGTATGACTAACATGTGCAATCTGTTTATAGGTGCTGAAGTAGAACTTGTCAAAGTAAAAGTAGAAAACCTAACCAAAACCTTCTCGGTGCTATTAAGGGTCAGTACGACTGTAACGAAAGAGATTCATATAAAGCAAAAGAAGCCATACGAAATTGTACGCGTATCTGGAAGAACTTAGTACATGCTGTTGGAGAGCCTACCTCAAAAAATGTAGGTATAAGCATTAAGCGCAAGTACCTTATGAGAAATTTCTCGAACGGAATAAAATTCATACATTTGGAAAGTTCGCTAAGAGCTAGCGCGGAGCGATTCAATGGCGAGGAATAAGGACTTTCAGACTCATCGATGCTCGAAGCCGGCTGAAGTCGACCGCATCAACCGCAGCTAGCCGCGATAGACAGAGACCTTCATGACCTCTCTGTTACACCGAGTTGTTACATTAAAATCCGGAGGACAGCGATTATGTACCATTTCGAAATTAAATTTATTCGCTTCGGGAAACCACTAGTCCAACCTCAAAAAAGTGGGAATGGCGACATACCGAAACTTTTCCTACTTTTGGTCTTATTACTCAATAACTATCTATTTTTAAAAAAAGTAAGTGACCTCAATTAAAGATATGAAATTAAGGGATAAAATGAATTAAGAAAGAAATATCTGGCTTCAATATTGAAGATGTAGAAGAGACCGAAAACATTTCAATTTTGCATTTATTAAAATTTCGGAGGTTTTAATGAAAATCAGAAATATACCATCTTCATAAATGCACTTTTCGAGTAAAATAGTTAAAGAAAAAATGGCGTCTATTTTTTCAGAAAGTCTTACGATCCTCAAAGGACCTTTATGTGAAGTACGTTCGTAAACACGGGCGTTTTTAAAACATCGACATCGATGTCATATCACTGCGACCACGCGACGCGCATCTCCCGCTTGGCTGGCTCCGCGGCGGGCACGCGCCGCCAGATGAGAACAAAGCCGGGAAGAACCGGGCACTTCAGCCGCCGCCGCCGCCGCCGCCGCCGGCGCAGCTTCCGATCGTATCTCGGCCGCGGCACGAATCGGCGGGGAGGGCCCGTGAAGGGAAGAGAGCGGAGGGCGTGGGCCTTGCGAACTCAAAAGGCCAGGGCGGAGGGGAGGGCGGCACGGCAACGGATTAATGACGGGTGTTGGGCAGCAGGATGGGGGACCTGGAGGTAAGATGAGAGGCAATTGGCGGTACCCGGGCCCGACTGGTACACCGCCGCAAGTCACTGCATTCGCGTTTTCCTCCTTCGGATTGACTCCTGGAGAACGTCGATCTCGTCCGATAAGTTCGCGAAGGTCGCCATCTGCGTCATAAAAGGGATATCCCACGGACCACCCGCCGTCGGGGGATGATTCCAACCACACTACCCCTCCGTTCTCTGTCAGGTCCATGGTAAGGATAAAATATTCAAAGCATAAAAATCAGCGCAATTTGAAGTTAAATACGCGTCTTACAACATACTTCACAACAGACTATTGTAACCTCTTCTTTCGAATTATCTTTTTATTTGAACAATAGCCTGTTGATAGATTAGAAATTATTCCAATAAACTACGAGGTGTACATGGAAAGTGACCGGATATTCCACTTATTTTTCTGAATACGAGGGAAAGAATAAAATGTGTTCTAGTCAGTTTTAGTACTGAAATAAAATTCGCACGAGAAATGAATACATTCGTTTTGGAACTACATTCGCATTTGTGAGTTAATCAAGGGCAGTCATTTCGATGAGAGCCGCTATGAAGTCTCTGATCGAGAGATCCAAAGTTTAGACTTCAGACGGTGGAGGATTTTAGACACTATCTACATATCTAAGTCGAATTCATCCGCTGGTTGAAGATTTCCAGCGGCTGGCTGCTCTGATTGGAAGTTTTCCGAAATTTCTCCAATCAAACCCACGCGAATGTCGGGGCGAACTCTAACCAACGTACCAATGAATCCCGCGCAATCGTTCATCCTTCATATTCCTGTTCTCCTTTCCCTTAAGACAAACACAAACACATCCTTACTCCACATGTTGTGAGACCAGTCGGGAGCTTGTAACTTGGATCAGCTGGAGCTTATAACTTGTCTCCCTGAGGGAGATACCAGGAAGAGTGAAACCCGACTTGTAGGTGGGCGCCTGATCTCATTGTCCAGCGAGGGAGGAACGCCGACTTTACCATGGATATAACACTCACAGGACTAATTACCAACGTAGTTGACGCCACCCGGAAGCATAGAATGCTCACTGGACGAGAAAGTTTCTAATACAATAAATCTTGTATGTCGCAATTTATCGTAAAGTGGATAATGGATTACTCCTCTTTGGTCTTGAAGTCTAAAGAAAATAGGTGTCGTGATCGGCTACAAGCATGCTTCCAAATGAAACAATACGAAAGTAGACAATGCCAACCAATTTCAATATCCATTATCTTGTGATCGAAGTAGCAAGAATCACGAAAACCATCGACAAGGATAAAAATATTTTGTTGGTATATTTAGAAAGCAAAAAGGTTAAAACAGAAAGAAAATATTTAGAAAGCAAAACACCTTAGCACGTTATATTAAATAATGTAACTATATATATATATATATATATATATATATATATATATATGTAATACTTGAATAAATGCGATGTTATTCATAGCTAAAAGTACAAACAATGATTGTTCATATTTGTACTAAAAAGTTTTCTAAAAAGAAGCAATAAATGAGACCAATTATCAAACCATCACCTTGAAGATTCCTTGCCCTACGCCACGACAGAAACGATGGCCACAGTCACGATTAACCGCGGCCAACGGCATTTGCCTCGTGGCGGCGCCTCGTGACGGGCACTACGCCGTAATCTCTGACGCAAGGGCCCAAACGCGCCGCACCGGAGACGCACTGCGCCGCATCGAGGGATTTCCAGAGGGGGGGGGGGCGCCGTGAATCAGCGAGCGCGCGCCCGCCCGCCCGCGGCTCTCAACTTCACAAAATCGGAAGTACAGAGGGCGCCGCCGCGAAGCCATCGCACATGCCACATGCCACCGGCGCGGCGCGGCGCGGAGCGGCTAGGCGTGGTAAAGGGTGCGGGGAAGGAAGCGGCTGCGGGCGTGTTTCGCGAGCACAGACGCTGGCTCACGCACGCTGGCTCACGCGCGCATGTCAAGTCAACCAGTTTGTCCGGAAGAACAAAAAGGCGGGGTAGAAATCGGTATCGATCGTCTTGGAAATTGATGTTTTAGTCACACGCGTTATACATGAAATGATAATGCGTTTATTTTGAGAAAGGGTTATATGAATTGTTGAAACTATGAAGAATCACCAAAAGACTTAACAAGACACTTTTTTAAACGATGCGCTTACTTGAAGTAAGTGCATCATTTAAAGGGTTAAGTGAGAGGAGTTTAAGGGCTAAAGTTGGGCAGAGTGTTACACTAATGAGATTCGACTATATAACAGCCCGAATAGAGGACTACATACACACTTGAAGGAACGTAAAGAGGGAGTTGAACAACCGGACAGAAGCCACATATCTCGGAAGGCTTTGGAGATGTATCCAATTATTAAAACTGGTAGGCACTAGGAGGTGCGGATAAAAATCGTCGGTCAGGCCGCAGCACCTTGCGTGTTCGGCAACGGCGTTCACTTTGCCCTCAGAATTTTTCACAGCTCCGCGGCAGTTGCCTCCGAAATTTCTCACAGCGCTACACTGCATCGCCGTCGGTGCCTGGGAGCCAAGAGTAGGAACCGGCCCGCGCTCCCTGGTCCCAGACGCTGGCTGCTCCGATATTACTAGCGGCCTCGGTAATCTTTTTTCAACGACTTCTAAAGGGACAAAAGTCAAACGAGGAAACTCATAACTCAGGCGTACACTCGACTGACGTCTCGGAAAAACAAAATATATCACCTGTTTTAGTCACCAGCTTACAGTAAGCATATTTAAGAAGAAATATGTCAATGAGACGCATTAAAGA